ATAAATCGAAGCAACTTCTAAAACTATAATTCTTCAAGGTTCTTGACCTCTTCGAGTCTCTTTTCATAGCTTGTTCTTCAAGGTATGACGATTTGAGCTTTTGAACGCTTAAAAAGATATATTCATGAAAAACTCAAAAAAGAGATTTGTTAGAGATATAAGTGTATTGTTTGTTATAATCAAAACAAGTGGAGTTATATTGAATCATAGGTCAAAAAATTTTCCCTTTTTGATTATGATAAAAAATATGTGATTTGTGATTTATTTGTAGAGATACACAAGATATTCCCCCTATCTTTTACAAATTTATGGGGACCGAGTTTGTGTTTATATTATTTTCCATAGCATAACAAAAAATGTGCAATTCCATAATTCAATAAAGCACATTAGAAGTCACAATATGGCAATTCATAAGACCTCATAATTTATACAACTTCATGATACCAATTCATAATAGCAATCAATCGCATTTTCCTTTTCCCCCTTTGTCATCATCAAAAAGAATGGGGACTTAGGAGAAACTTCCCCCATAATTAAGGCATAGGTACAAGTTAGGAGAAATAAGTAAAATGTAATCAATCAATTCATAACAACTGATATAAATCATAGGTGACATAAGAATAAGTTTGAAATACGGTTCAAAGTGCATCAAACTAGATAATGAATTCGAAAAGAAGTTGTGCATAAGTTAAAACAATAACAAGAAGAGACTTCAATCGTTCATCGGTGGAGGAGGGCCTCGAGGATAGATTGAGTACATGTGAGCAAAGAAGGCCTCATGTGATAAGCTCATTTGCTCCATCCTATGCTCATAAGCATCCATTCGGCTTGTGACGGTAGCAGTAAGGGAATCAATTCATCCTTGGTGAGGATGTTGAATTGATCTTAGGACATTTGTTGGCCGAGAGAGGGTGCAACTTGTGGAGTAGGCCTACGTCTTGCTTGCAGTGCATCATCGCCATCACCACCATCATTACCACCTATTTCTTCTTCCTCCTCTTCTTCGATGAACGGCCAAGTAGTAGGGCCTGAAGCATTGTCAAAGCCTTGAGGGTGACACACCTATTGCCGTCTCTTTTAACGATTTTCATGCATTTAAGGGTGTTAAGGTTAATGGCATCAGTGTGTGTTGGTTTAAGAATGGGCTCATCGTCTAATGACATGTTGAAGTGTTGAAAGATTTTAGTGAGTAGCATGTCATAAGATAAACATAAGATACGAGGAGACGAGTGAACGTGCCGAATGTGTTTCAAGAAAATGTATGACAAATCCAATTGACGACCAACAAGAAATGAATCAAAAATAAATAAATCAAGATAATGAACTTCTTCAAAGTGACCACTCCTNACGATAATATGTGCAATTGCATGATAAAAGACTTTGCATGGGATAGTAAGATGGTTTAGATTCAAGGTCATTTTCGTGGTCAATGGTCAGTCAGTGACACGACAACATGCTTCAAGTTCATTATAGCCCTCAAACCTAGTTTTGGACGTAGGCACAATTATCACATTTTTTTAACCCAAGTATTTCCCGAATGGTAGCCCTATCGAGTGTAATACATTTTTCTTTGATAGTGCACGTGACATGGTTTGAATAAAATGAGAGACTCCAATAGAATTTACGAATTAATTTATGGTAGGCATTTTCAGAGATCGAGATAACATTCTTCAACCCAATACCCTCAAAATACTCTTCTATCCTAAATGAAGGAACTTGAAGGTAAAATTCGAAGACATCAATGGACTTACCGATTAGGATGGGGCAATCGGTGAAACGGTCTGGCATGGGCGTGTCTACATCGACATTCAATGAGCTTGCTTCCCCCTTCTTTGATTTCTTCTTCGGAAGCATGGTTGATTCGGATTTTTCGACCAAGGGTGAGAGTTTTTGGATTTTCGAAATTTTGGTAAGGAATTGANACTTGAGAAAATGTCAAAATTACGAAAGAATTTCAACTCATTTCTCTACTCTATCTAGGGTTGGACAAAACTCCCTAATCGAACCGATCGAACTCACTCGAACCGAACCAAATTGAGCGGTTATTCATAAGTTAGATACCCGAACGAGTATCTAAATTGAGAACCGACGGGTTTGATTCGGTTCTCGGTCTAAACCCAGAACCGAAGAACACAATAAAAACCGGATTTAAATAATTTTTAAAAATTTTCGATATTGAATTAATTAATT